GAGAGGTAAGAGTCGCATTGGCAATTTCAAGTAAAAGCGGCTTTCCACCCGTGCAGTCAGCCACCAATTTTAACGTCTCGCATAGCCCCTTTGCCGTTGGTTGCTATGCACGACATTAGTACATCCGAGGACATTGTAACAGACTGTGGAAGGACACTCTGATGATTGTGTGCGCATAAGGCCCGGAAACATCATACTCTACGCGATGTTAGGTTCTGTCTGGGTAGACCTTGAATCGCAGCGTCTAGGTGCTAGTGTAGTTGCTAGCCCAGGAGTCCCTTGATGGTGGATCGCGCTAACTGTGATCGTCACGGAGACCTGTATGGACGAGGATCATATTGCTGCTGTCTGCAGGGAGGTAAGGTTCGCATTGATGGCTTGCAGTAGAAGCGGCCAGCGTAGCCTCTAGTCTTGATTTTTCGAGACTTCTCTGACAACCCTCCATCTGTGCGATCAGGCACCAATTTTTACGTTTTGCATAGCTCCTTTAGGCGTTCAGCTGTAAGTTAGGAGAGTAGCTGGGGGGCCTTTTGGGGGTAAAAAATTTTTTCAGCTGAAAGGCGCTTGTGCGTTTCATGAGCGCGAGAGAGGAGGATACGCTTTATTTTGAAAATATAGTTCCAAAATTTTCAGCAAAAACATCCTCCGTTCACAAGAAATAAAAGTAGACACACAAACTTACAGCACCGGGAAATAAAAAGCAATCCAGGCAAAACTGTCTTGTAGGGCCCCCTAAATATCTGTTCCACCCGCCCAACTGTCGAACATATTTTTGGGCAAACATTTAATCCTTGGTTAGTGAGTGTAAACGAGTATTTAATTGTGGTGGAAGCGATCCAAAAATATTAAATTAAAGAAGCCTATATTTCAGAAGAAGAAGCGATCACTGGAACAAGACTTATTTTCCTGACGTTTCGGATTCCGTCGAGAATCCTTAATCATAGGTAATCGTAGAAAAGTCTGAGACATGCGCAGATATATTTGTTTCAATGTACTAAATAGAATCAAATCTATCAGCATAAACTCCTGTTGTTAAGGCTACTGATGCCACTTGAGGGAACTTCAACCTTATATCGGCGAAATTTAACGAAAAAGGGGAAGTCGGGTTACTGAAAAGTGTAGAAGTAGGTTATTTTTATAAGTCAAAGGCAAAATGGACCTCTAGAGAGAGAGTGCTGCCGTAGCCCATAATCGTCAATGGCTGCGATTGCAGACATCGTGGATGAATGTCCTTGGAAAAAGTTCGTCAAGTATAGGCCAAATTAACCTGCTTCCAAGGCAGCGCCAGCGTCATGCACTGATGACCTCATTTCTGTAGTTCAAATAAACAAAGAGAGATAAAAATCGGTTTATAATGGACGGAGTAGGCCAACCTATGTGTGTATATATAAGAAAATTTACATGCGAGTAGACGGAGGGCAAACAATGGCGGCCCAACTTGAAAAGCCCGCTACTAGCACTTTCGAATGACGCGCGCGCACCGATCTGTGTTGGTTGCAGGACTAAATACAGGCGATTGTATGTTGCCCTGACTGTGCGAGGGTTATGACCCACGCCCTTCTGCCATGAGTTACAAAAAGCGTCTACGTGGTGTGGTTGCTAGCCGAGGAGTACCTTAATAGTGGATCGCGCTGACTGAATTCGTCACGGAGACCTGTATGGACGAGGATCATATTGCTGCTGTCTGCAGAGAGGTAGGACTCGCATTGACGATGTCAAATAAGAGCGGCCAGCGTCGTCTCTGGTTTTGGGTTTTTTGAGACCTCTTTGGCAACTTTGTATCCGTACCCTCAGGCACCAATTTTTGCATTTTGCATAGCCACTTAGGCGTTCAACTGTGGGTTAGGAGAGTAGCTAGGGGCCTTTTGAGGGTAAAATATTCTTTTTTCTTCGGCTCGAAGGCGCTTGGGCGTTTCACGTGCGAGAGAGAGGAGGATACGCTTTATTTGGAAAATATAATTCCAGATTTTTCCGCGGAGACGTTGTCCGTTCAAAAGGAATAAAATTAGTCACAGAAAATTACAACACCGGGAAATCAAAAGCAATTCATAATCGTTAAATGACTGCAGTTGTCGACACAACGTGAATAAATGTCCTTGGAAAAAGTTCGTCAAATATAGGCCAGATTGGCCTGCTTTCAGAGCGGTGCTAGCGTCGCGCACTAACGACCCCATTGTTGTATTTCAAATAAAGAGAGATAAAAATCGGTTTATAATGGGTGGTATAAATGTCCTTGGAAACAGTTCGCCCAAACTAGACTGCTTTCAAGGCAGCGCTAGCGTTATGCACTGATGACCTCATTGAAAAGGGCTAAAGATCGGTTTATGTTGGGCGAAGTAGGCCAACCGACGTATATATTTAAGAAATTTTACTTATGAATGGAGGTAGGGAGGAAAAACGTGGCGGCTCAACTTGAAAAGCCCCCTACTAGCACGTGCGAATGACGCACGCGCACTGATCTGAATACAGGCGATTGCGTGTTGCCCTGACTGTGCGAGGGTTATGACCCACGCCCTTCTACTGTGAGTCACAAAAAACAGAAACATGGAACAGAAATAACACTTTCTGACTTGACAGACGCCGTCATCAACCACAGGCGTTCGCACTCTCGAGGCGCACTGTGGTGACACGTTCATACCTCGAATACGATAACACTTGAATGCGGGTTTTCACTGGCATAAACCGGACCCTATGTTCACACCTTTGGCCAGTACTACCTCTCAGTGTTTACATGGTGAAGGTGTGTGTGGACGTTATAAGTCACCGTTCGGTCACGGAGTAATCATGCACACTTTGGGGCTTCGTCGTCTGCCTACCATA